AGCTTGACATTTAAACTTTCCCAATACAAACCTATTAAATAATCCTAAAATTTAACAGAATTAAGAGAAATGCAAAATAAAGGAACAATGAGATATTATTTTACTCTGATCAGACTAGCAAAAATTAAAATGATCAATAACACCTATTGTTGACAGCAAAGCTAGAAAAAGGTTATTCTATTACCTTGCTAGTAGAAATGCTAACTGATAACAGACTTTTAAAAAAGTAATCCAGCCCTGGCCAGTGTGGCTCAATGGTTGGAATGTCTTTCTATATACTGAAAGGTGGCGGGTTTGATTTCTGGTCAGGGCACACAGGTTTCTGGTCCAACCCCCAGTCTGGCTGTATACTACTATTAAAATTAAAAATAAATATACCCTATGGCCCAGCAACCACATCTTGGGAATTTATGCTATAGAAATAAAAGATACACATACAAAGATTTTATTGCACCACTGTTCATAGTGATAAAAATTTAAAAATAATGTAAATGTCCATCAGTAAGGGAATGTTTAAATAAATTATGGAATATTATTATTGTAGGCTAAATTGTATTCCCTAAATTTTCATATGTTGAAGTCCTAATTCCCAGTACTTCAGAATGTGACTATATTTGGAGATTGTGTCTTTAAAGAGGTAATTAAAATGAGGTCATTAGGGTAGGCCCTAATCTATATAACTGCTGTTCTTATAAGAAGAGGAAATTTGGACACACATATACACAGAGGGAAGACTATAGGAAGGAGTTAACGATCTACAAAACAAGAAAAGAGGCCTCAGAAAAAAAATCAAACTTGCCAACACCTTGAACTTGAACCTGTAGCCTCCATTATTGTAATAAAATAAATTTCTGTTGTTTAAGCTTCCCAGTGTGTGGTTCTTTATTATTGCAGCCCTGGCAAACTAACACGACTATGTAACCATTAAAAAGAATAAAGTAAGCCCTGGCTGGGTAGCTCAGTTGGTTTGAGCATTGTCCCGAAACACCAAGGTTGCGGGACTGATCCCTGGTCAGGGCACATACAAGAGTCAACCAATTAATGTATAAATAAGTAGAACAACAAATCTCTCTCTCTCTCAAAAAAAAAAAAAAAAAAGAATTAATTAGGGCTTGCCATTTGACAGATTTCCACAAGGTATTTTGAGTAAGACAGAACAAACAATTTGAAGTACAGGGAATGATCAAAACACATACGTGTGTGTGTGTTTATAATGTATTACAGATAAACATTTGTACATGAACATGACAACATGGAGAGAAATATGGAGTAATATAACCTAGGTTATTAACACGGGTTACAAGGTCCTGACAAGTCAGGAGTGGGGATGGAAGGAAGGAAAGAAAAAAAGAATAAAACCAACCACCCCCCCCCAAAAAAAACTCTTCTGAAAATAATTGTCATATTTATGCACGTTAGTAACATTTCATGTATATGTGTATATATGTAATTTTTAAATGTAATTAAAATTTTTCATTTAATTTTCATTCAAATAAAATATTTCATAACTGCTTTTTTGTTGTGTGTACATTAGCCATGGGAATGGCAATATCCAAAGTCCTTTCCCACAGAAAGTTACTACACACATCAAATTCCAAACATGTATCAAGTGCCAAGTTCATATCATCTTTCATTTGTTTTGCTCTAAAAACAATACATATGACCTTCCTAAACAAATTTTTTATTACTTTCTGTGATAACACCAATAAAACAAAGAACTGACTCAGAAAAGAATGTTGTTGTTTTTTAGTTCTTCTTCAAGCATGTTCCTTTTTAAAAAAAAAATGGTTTTATTTATTTCAGAGAGGAAGGGAGAGGTAGAGATAGAAACATCAATGATTGGCTGCCTCCTGATCAATCCCGCAACCGGGCACATGCCTTGACCTGGAATCGAACCGTGACCTCCTGGCTCATGGGTCAACGCTCAACCACTGAGCCATGCTGGCCAGGTATCTTCTTAATCTTCACACTCAAGAGTCTTCCAACTGTGGCAGAAATCCATTATCAGTGATGCCCCAACATAGGTAGGAGGGTTTTATAAAATTTCCATGTTCCTTCTCCCCCTACTTGCCCACTCCCCCGTGTTCCTATCCATCCTTTATTTTTTTTTAAGATAGTGACCTTGTCCTGCTGGACCTGGTGTCCTCATGTCTTCATGGGCCTTTTACTTAATGGTTTTGTTTTTGTTTTATTGATTTCAGGGAGAGGACAGGAGGAGGGGAGAGAGAAAGAAACATCAATGATGAGAGAGAATCATTGATCAGCTGCCCCCTACTGGGGATCTAGCCCACAGCCCAGGCATATACCCTGACCAAGAATCCAACCGTGACCTCCTGGTTCATGGGTTGCTGCTCAACCACTTAGCCACACCAGCGGGGCCATCCTATCCTATTAAGTTTCAATCCCATTCTAAACGGTATCTTTAAAGCTAGAACAGAAATTCCTAATACATGTGTTGCCATTATCTTTCTTTGGCAGTTTTCCTATAAATTCCAAAAGGTGGCAGTTTGTAACTTGAATGTCTTTCTAATAAGGTTCATCAATTGACTGCCTATACCTCTAAGCATTAGATTCTAAAATCTAGTGAATCAAAGGCATAAAAGTTCAAATTCAAACTTCTCCAAATAGATCAGGTTCCTTGATATGTGATCACTAACAGTAAATTAATTTACTAAATGAACTAAATAGATTTCTCCATATTTATACTTTTATTTCTAGAAGGTAAAATGGTCATTGTCATCTGTGAATTCCACTTTATCAATTTTCATACTTTCTGAGTAAAAGAGGCTATATCCCAAAAATGATACATGAACACATGCATGCGTCCAACAGATATTGTGCTAGATACTAAGGATATAAGATAGATATAGTCTCTGCCCTCTCAGACCTTAAAAATACAGGAGGGGAATAAGACATTAACCCCAAAAATGACTACATAAAAAGAAACAGAGCAGTAAAGAGGTTAAATGTGGCCTGAGCTGGCTGAATTCAAATCTCAATCCTTTCAATTACCAGGGTGTAACCCTGAGCAAATTAATTAATCCTTCTGATAATAATTATGTACCAGTACACAGTGTTTACTTAATATCAGCTGTAGTTATGCTGTTGTTCTTATTAGAGGAATCTGTAAGGCTATATAAGTGAGGCTAAGTTAACCTAGTAGTTCTGGAAAGGAAGGCTAAAGCAGAAATCTGATGGGTGAGTAGAATTTAGGTGAAAAGTAGGATGGGAAAATGAGAGGGATAATATTCTAGGTAAAGGAAACAGCATGTATAGACATGAAGGGGATAAAAAAGAAGGTTGGGTAGGGCCCAGATCACTGGCCAGATGTTCCAGATACAGATGCATTTACTAAGATGAGGAATACTGTAAGAACAGACTTTTTAGTAAGCAGGGAGGGGAACAAGGAGATTATGACTTTAGTTCTGAATTTCATTATACTTGCGATATCTTTGAGACATGAAATTAGCAAGCAATCACTTTAATATATGGAAACAAATCCGGAATCCAATTTTAATAATTTTTATTATATAATGCAAAATAGCAGGAAGTGATTACATATTACATCACTGTAAAATAAAAATGTCACAAGAAATCAAAGAAATGCACCCCCCCAGATATCCCTAATATCCAGCAGAAATGAAAGATATTTTAATGCTTTGAATGCCCTCAATCCATCAATTCCATGATGATAGACAGTAAGGTTACAAGGGGTATAAGTGCAAATTAGGAATGTTAGAAGTGACTTTCCCCTATTTCCCACTATTCTAGAACATGGCTGGATGTCCCTGGCAAAGAAAGGTGTCTATTGACTCCTGGGCTCAGCTGTGATAAATACATTCTTCAAAGGGAAGCTCTAAAATAATAGTCACATCTATGAAAAGCATACCTTGCACAAATGGTTAGGTATAGAGATCATTTCAATGCAAGAAAAGAAAACAATGCCACAGAATGATGGATTTGCTTCACCTTTCCTGATAACTGGCATTAATTAGTATTTCTTAAGTATCACATGCTTATATTTCATAAAATATTTCCTTATATAGAATCAGTATATCTTAATTTTTTAAATATTAAGTACTAGAGGCCCGGTGCACAAAATTTGTGCACTCGGTGGGGGGGGGGGCGTCCCTCAGCCTGGCCTTCGCCCATTTGCAGTCCAGGACCCCTTGGGGGATGTCCACCTGTTGACTTAGGCCCATCCCCCGAGGGCTCCCTGGCTACCAGAAGGATGTCTGACAACCCCGGCCCCAGTGGGGTCCGGGGTTGCCGCCTGGCCTGCACCTGGGCCCTCCTGCCCTCCGATGCCATGGGGATCCTGGGCGCAGGCCAGCCGGCAACCCCAGCCCCCAGGGGGTCTGGGGTTGCTGCCTGGTCTGCTCCAGGGCCCTCCAGCCCTCTGATTGCCATGGCCTGCCCCCCAGCCCTCACGCCTCTGATTGCCACCATTGCTCGACACAGGCCAGCTGGCAACCCCAGCCCCTGGGGTCGGGTTTGCTGCCCGGCTTTCCAATGGCGATCACCTGCTAGGGGGTGGGGAAAGGCGGCCTTTGCCCACCCCCTAGCTCTTGCCTGCCGCCTGGGTTGCGGATCACCATTCTGCAGTCCTTCCCCTTTCGCCTCCCATCATTGGGCGTATGCAAATTAGCCGCCATCTTTGTTGGTGGTTAACCGCCATCTTAGTTGGCAGTTGATTTGCATAAGGATATGCTGATTAGCCAATGGGAAGGGTAGCGGTCGTACGCTAATTACCATTTTTCTCTTTTATTAGTGTAGATTGCTAACATGGCAAGAACAGTAGAGCTGTCAAATGATAAAGTCTTGTCAGCAAAAAAAAAATTATTAAGTCTTATGATTCATTACTTCACATTTTTCAGCTCCCAAAACAAATCCACAGATCTTGATACTAACTTTAAAAAGGCCTGCTATTTTCTTGGAGTCTGCCAACGGAGTAAATAGGAGTTGTAGTCGGAAGACCTGTCTTGGAGGTCTGACTTTACCTGTATGATCTTAGGCAGGTCATTAAATCTCCTAAATCTCATGTTTTTCATTGAAAATAGCAATATAACCATCTCCAGAGGCTAGTGTGAAGATCCAATGAAATCATATACCTGAAAGGACTTTAAATGGTAGAATGCTAAATAATTAAGTGTAGTCACTATTCACATTACCACATACAGTGAGGTACAAACTGTAACAGCTGAACATAAAAAATATGAAGATTATATGTACTTGGATTCATCAATCTGATAAATTTATCTTTAAAGATATGCCAACAAAACCCAATTTATCCTACTTTGCATTATATAATCCCATATATAAGTGGCTCTTTGCCTAAAATATGCATAACAATGACCTGAAAAGCTTTTTTTTTTTTTTTGCCTTCTGAGCCCTAGAGATTCTGATTCAATATGCCTGGGTGAATCCAATAAACATGCTTCTTTTTAAAAATTATAGTAAAATATACAAAATGTACCATTTAACCAAGTCTACAACTTAGTGGCATTAAGTACATTCACAGTGTTGTGCAACATCACCACTATACATCTCCAGAACATTTTCATCATCACAGACTGAAATTCTGTACCCATTAAGCAATAACTTCACATTACCACCTTTCCCCAGTCCATGGTAACTACTGTTCTACTTTCTGTCTCTATGAATTTGACTATTCTGGGTACTTCAAGTAAGTGGAAGCATACAACATCTGTCCTTTGTCTGGTTTCTTTCTCTTAGCAAAATGTTTCCAAGGTTCATCCATGTTGCAGCATATATCAGGTTTCATTCCTTTTTTAAAAACAGATAATTCCTCATAATCTTAAAAAAAAAAAGGCATCTACAATATAAAGGGAAAACATCAACTATGTTTGCTATTTGCAGTTGACGTAATCCTGTATATAGAAAAATAAATACCAAAGAATCTACAGGAAAGTTACCACAGCTAGTAAATTAATTCAGCAAAATTGCAAGACAAAACCAATACATAAAAAACAGTTGTGTTTCTGCACACCTGCAATGCACAATCTGAAAATTATGAATGTAATTCCATTAGCAACTAAAAGAAGTATAACATCTAAAGGCATAATATACCTAGGGCCCTATTCCGCTTGTCCAGGAATTTTCCTAGCTTTTACTATGCTATAACGCAATTATAATAAAGAATGTTCAGGGGGAAAAAATAAATACCTAGGAATAGATTTAATCAAGGAACTGACTTTTAGCCTGAAAACTACAAAACACTGCTAAAACAACAACAACAAAAAACTAAGAGAAGACCTAAATAAATGGAAAGACTTCCTGTATTCATGGCTAGGAAGACAATATTATCAATACTACCAAAACAATCTACAGATCCAATGCAATTCCTATCAAAATTGTTATAACCCTTTTTTCTGCAGAAATGAAAATGCCAGTCCTCAAGTTTATATGGAATTGCAAGGGGCCCTAAATAGCCAAAACAATAATAAAGAAGATACTTCCTAATTTCAAAACTTAATATACAATGCTACAGTAATCAGTGTGGAACTGTCATAAACACAGACATATAGACAAATAGAACAGAATTAAGAGTCCAGAAATAAATCTATGCAGCTATGATAAACTGATTTTTTACAAAAGTGCCAAGTCTATCCAATGGATAAAGATTAATCCCTTCAACAAATGGTGCTGGGATAACTGAATTTCCACATGCAAAAAAAAGAGAGAGAGAGAGAGAGAAAGAAATTGGACACCTAACTCAGACCAAATACAAAATTTAACCTAAAATGGACTAATAACCTAAATATAAAAGCTAAAACCATGAACTTCTTAGAAGAAAACCTATGGGTAAATCATCATGGTCTTGGATTTGGCAATGGATTCTTAGTATGACACCAAAAGTACAAGCGATGAAAGAAAACAGTTAAATTGAACTTTATGAAAATTAAAAGCTTTTGCGCACAGGACATTATCAATATACTGAAAGACAACTTTTTAGTTGGTTTTGAATGGGAGAGTATATTTATAAAATCATATATCCAATAAGCGTTTAATATCAAGAATATACTATAATGATCTCCTAAAATTCAACAACAAAAATACAAAAAAGCTAATTTAAAAATGGGAAATAAACATGAATAGACATTTCTCCAGAGAAGATATACAAATGGAAAAGAAGCACATGAGTAATTATTAGGAAAAAACAAACACAAACCAAAAGCACAATGAGACATCATTTCACAGCAATTAGGATGACAATTTAAAAAACAAAACAAAAACAAGTGTAGGTGAGGATTTAGAGAAACTGAAACCTTTGTGCATTGCTGGTAGGAATGTAGAATGGTGCGGCTGCCATGGAAAACAGTATGGCAGTTCCTCTAAAAGCTAAACATAGCATTACCAAATGACCCAGCAATTCTACTTTTAGCTATATACCCAAAATAATTGAAAACAGAGACTTAAACAGATACTTATATACCAATATTCATTGTAGCATTATTCTCAATAGCCAAAAGATAGAAACAACTCAACAGATAGATAAACAAATGTGGTATATATGTACAATGAAATATTATTTAGACTTAAAAAGGGATGGAATTCTAATACGTCACAACGTGAATGAACCTTAAAGACATTATGCTAAGTGAAATAAGTCAGAGACAAAAGGACAAACATTGTATGATTCCACTTATATGAAATATATAGAATAGGCATATTCATAGAGACAGAAAATAGATTAGAGGTTGGCAGGGGCTGGATGAGGGGGAAGTGGAGAGTTATTGCTTAATATGTACAGAGTTTCTGTTTGGGGTGATGGTTGCACAACACTGTGAATGTAGTTACTGGCACTGAATTAATACTTAAAATGGCTAAAATGGCTAATTTTATGTAAAATATACTGTATATTTTTAGCACAAAAAAATTAAAAGAAAAAGCTATTCAATATATGTACAAAAATCAGAATCCTACCCAAGCTTTTACACATGTGTTTATTAGTAAGTGCAATGCATTACAAATTATTGTCCATACACAGAAATCAATTAATGTGCAAATGGTTTAGATTATAAGTAAAATAGAAAATGGGACTTGTCTATATAGAAAGGAAAAACTTTGTTTCAGCAATTATAAAAGAGTAACTGGAATTTAAGTTAGCTTATTACAAAAAGTCTGTTAATTAAAAATAACTTTTAAAAAATCTCAACTTGTTTTATTATTTATTTTTAACACTGAACCAAAGTATACGAGAATTGATCCCATTTGCAATTTGGATGCTTTAATACCCATGAGCAGATTACAATATTTTTTATCAGCAGATATAAGTTTCATAAAAATAGCAATTATATTTTTTAAATTGTATAGCCATAATGCTTACTATATAATAAGTGCTTAACAAATTTAGTGAATAAAACAAAATCAGTCAAAATTACCAGGAAAGTAGCATTAACGAAACTCTTCCAAAATCATCTCCCTGTTATAGTTTAAAAATCTTTAAAAATAATATCTGAGTAACTCAGGGGCCATAATACCAAAAAAACTTTAAATTACTTATTTTCTCCAATGCATACCCATCCTCAACTCCAATGGAAGGTTACCAGAATTAGGCTTTATGAAAATTTCTTTTACTGATTTGTTTCGCTTGCTCTGAGGTAGCCCAACCTGAAATAGAAAGTCAACAAGCAGTCATCTTTATGGCTGGATGGTTGGACTACTCCAGATACTGCTGAAGTGCCTAAAGTATTCCTGATACACTAGTTCATATAGGAATAACATGGGTATCATTTGCATTGTTTTATTTTATCTTTATTGCTTTGCTTGTGGTTTTGTACAAAGGTTTAATTATAAATAAACTTCAATATGAAATGCAAACTTTGATAACCAGATTGTGTACTATTAGTATCAATAATTAACTTTTGACCATTAGAACTTACTCTAACATATGTTTGGGGTTTTTTTTAAGCATAAAGGGTTTGGGGGGGAACAAATTACCCACTTTGAATGGATAATTTCAATTATCCTGAATCAGGCAATTTATAGCCAGAAATGACCCTGGCTGGCTATGAGAATGAGCCTCTCAGATCTCTGACCACAGGGAACATAACTGACTGAGGGCCCCAGCTGGTGCACTCTGAAATCCATCACTGTGTTTGGGTCATGCTTCTCACTAGCTGCTCCCAGTCAATGGCTGAGCACAGCAGGCATACATACTAAGACAAGCCTAATCTGGGAGTTGAGGAATTCCTGTGATAGGCAACTTTCACTCAAGGACTTCCTGAGGCTTGGTGAACTTTTCTTAGAACTGCACAGCAGTGTTAGACACTTTCACCCAAAGTTCCTTCCTTCCTCACCTCTCTCCTTCACTTATAGTCAGACTTGCATCAGAGTCTGACAACTCTCCTGACCTCCATCCTCATTTTCTCTCACAAGCAGTTCTAATAAATTTCTTGCATGCTTGATCCCATCTTGGCATCTGCTTGTCCTTTGAAGCATTATACTTTAAAAGAAAAATCTAGCCATTTTAAATGAATCACTGCTAAAATATACATCATTTGCTTCCCTGTTTGCTAAAATAAAATACAGTGAGCATGACAATTCGAATGCCTTTTGACTAGTGAAGACTTCAACCCACCTAACTCCAGACATTAGTATTCTTGAGGGGATAAACTCAGAACCTCATGCAATTTAACAAATATGTACTGAGCACCTGCTATACATGAGAAATATGTTAAGCATTCTAGGGAATACAAAGGTAAGTAGGAATCTATTCTTGCCCTCAGGTAACTCCCAATATAGAGGAAGAGAGAAACCACAGATACAAACAAATTTTAAAGGGCAGACTGTCATTAAGTGCTAAAATTGAGGAATAGAGTACTAAGGAAATTAAGAGGTTCATTTACTTAAGGGATGGACTTGTAGTAGAAAGTCTTTGTAGAGGAAATGACATTTGAAATGTACTTTGAAAGATATCCTCGGAACTTTCAGTATACCTGCCTCTAATGACTAAGGACCAAGGACAGTCCAACACAGATGCCTTCCATGCTTGCCATATTCGGCTACCCCCAAAGTGTAAATCTGTCCGATC